CTCTCCTGAGCTTGCATGCAGGAAATTCTCTAGGTCTGGGTTGCAAAGAACCTACTGGGTCATACAGTCTACAAATGCATTTTCAGTTCCGTGTATTGCTAAACCGCTCTGCAAAGTAGTCACCGCTTGCATTTCCATGGCGGCGGCTAAGCTTTCCCACTTCTGCGCATGCTCACCATCGCGGGGCAGGGGTAATGAACTAGCTCTGTCAACATCAGCACGGAGAGATCTCGAGAACATCGTGGCGAGTGAAAAAGGCAAGTTGTAGGGCACAAAAGGATTGCGGGGGAACTCAGTTCTCTCTGTAAGATTTTCTGCCTTTGATTAAAAAAATACTTGAAGGGAATAAAGCAAAATATTGACAAATATTTCTAAGTGAGGGGGAAATGGGACTATTTGATATATTGTCCTTGGGACTTTGTTGCATTTTAAAAAATCCTCAATTATAAATGGGGGGGAGGGGAGGCAGTGATGTGCAGATTCCCAAAATATATAAGATAACAGATTTTTTTGAGCAGCTTCCAAATTTGGATTCACTTTTCCCCATGCAGAAATTCATATTAGTAGAGCCAGCTAGCCTTCCCTTGTGAACATTGTTTTAAAGTAGATAAAATATCAAGGAATTTTGGAAGTTCTTATTTTTAGCCAGTAAAATGAAAAATTTCCACAGCATGTAAAATAAAGCGCTCTAGTCGAAGCCTGCCTGGTTGGCTCCACCTAACTATGATCACGTCTAAGAACCTTTCCAAAGCTATTCTGAGCCTGGGGTGGGGGAGGTGACTCACTGCGTCCCTCCCTCACCCCAGCCCCTATCTGTTTATTCAGGTGAAATCAGATTAAAATGAACCTTAACGGTAGCTTTGGAAGCGAAGAGAAGTCAGAGACGAAGAGATCCTGTGAGAAGCCTTAGACCAGGGATGATGAGAGTCATGGGAGTGACATGTTGGCTTCTTAATTAGCATCAACCATAATTTATGGAGCACCCATTTTCCAGAACAACACTAGCTTTCATAGGTCTTCCTCGTGTTACTGGGAAAGAAGCATTCAGGGCGAGCATGTGCAATGTTTTTTATGCTTCCTTTTTGATAAACGTAAAAATCTCATGCCTACTTTTAATGCTATCTGAAATATTTAATACAAGCATGTGAACAAAAGGAGATCACATAGGCCCCAGACCTAGTTGAGAATCTGGGTTCTAAACTGTGTGCCAGTATCCAGGGGTATCCAGGATTTGCCTGGCCTGACCATTCGTAGGCTGTAGACTGCAGGGGAGCTCCTTACCCTCTCTCAGCTTCTATCCCCTACTCTGGGAGGGTGATTATGATACCTGCCACTTGGGGCTGCTTGCAGATTCTGTGAGGCACTTAGCTCCATTGCTAGTTTTAAAACAAAACAAAAACATGAAAACTTTAATCCAGATAACAGCCTTGGAAGTAGGCTAACCCCTTTCCTCCCATTTTATAGATGAGAATACTGACACCCAGACACACTGTTCTACAAGTGACTTGACCTAACTGCAGAACAGGGTTCACCTCTTGGTCATGTGTGTCTGGGCCAGGCACCTTTCACGGTGCCTGCCCTGGCCATGTCTCTGCAGGTGAGCAGGAGATCTAGAGTTATCTTCTCCCCTGAGTCTCTGAGCAGCTCAAAATAGCATCTAGAGTGATCTGGCTCACGTGGCTCCCTAGGACCCCTGGATCCAATTTCCTTAGCACTAGTTAAGTGAGGATACTATATTAACCAGCTGTTGTGTGTTCTATCAGCTGGGCTGTAAGCTTTCAGAGAAGCGACCAAGTCTCCTAGTCCTTCTCAATAAGCCACTAGCCTCAGAGAAATAGGCCGTGTTTCCCGTGAGAGATTTTTAATGAAGAACTTCCCTGCATAATCTCAGGTTAGCTTTAAGTCTTACCCACCCAGATTTTGACCAGTGTGACACACACACACACACACACACACAGCAACTATATTGACTTTACTATCTGTTCTCCTCAACCCCTAACCTTTGTGCTCTTTCTCAAGTTGCTGCACCTCTTGGCCTCAGCTTCCTCACCCATAAAGTAAAGATGTGAATATTTGCCCTGGATGTTCCGAGGATCAGAATGAAATGAGATGCTGCATGGGAAAGCCTTTTGTAAACTTGAAGGCATAACTCTGACTCTCCTGTGGTCCAGCACGAACCCATTCCTTTCTTTTTTTTTTTTTTTAATTTTTTATTGTTATGTTAATCCCCATACATTACATCATTAGTTTTTGATGTAGTGTTCCATGATTCATTGTTTGTGCGTAACACCTAGTGCTCCATGCAGAACGTGCCCTCTTTAATACCCATCACCGGGCTAACACATCCCCCCACCCCCTCCCCTCTAGAACCCTCAGTTTGTTTTTCAGAGTCCTTCATCTCTCATGGTTGAACCCATTCCTTTCTAAATGGAGCCGTTTAGAACGACTGTGTCTTCTGTTCTTCTAAAGCATTTCTTAGCAGACCCACCTAGCTGCTTCGGCTGAGAGGGAACCAAATGGGCCCACATTCAACAAAGGAAGAAGAAACTGTGCATCCATGCTGAAGAATTCACGGAGTTTCTAGCACTTTCAAGGTACATCTCTGTTTAGTGAGTTCTAAGCTAAACTCATTCCAGGAGACCTAGAATCTTCTTACTAGTTTCCAGCAATAGAATCTTGGTCAAGTTACTTAATGTATCTGAGCCTCAGTGTCTTTATTTAAAAAATGTGAAGATACTTGCCTCACTGGGTGCTTGTGTCAAATGAGGACACATAATGGTAGGCAGTCCAAGCATCTGACTTTTTCCTCTTCCCTTTGTACTTTTCTCTTCCTTCTGTTTACCCTTCTAAACTTCTGTGCCTCCGCTTGCTTTTCCATGAAATGAGGATAATAACACCTGGCCAGCACAGCTCACCGGGCTGTCGTGTGACTATGCAATGAGCCGAGATAGGGCTTTGGAAACAGTGATGTATAGTAGAAACCCCTGTAGGGGTTATTCTTGGGGTCACTGACCTCGAACCAAGGAGTGCGCTGGTCCTCACAGGCCTGGGCTGTTGTGTGTAGCGGCTACTTTAGCAGGTCCCTTCGCCAGCTTCTGCTCATGCTCTCCCCGAGGCTCCTGGTGCTCTCACATCTACCCGTGATGCTCTGCGGCCGCCCAGCCCCTGTCGCCCACACGCCCCCCATCCCATCTGCCTCTCTGTCCTCCTCTGGATCACAGGGCACGGGACCGTCCACCCACCACTCTCTGATGCAATAACGGTGCCTGCCCCAATCCTGCAGGCTGTTGGAAACGGCCTGCATGTGACCCCCTCCCCGCATGAATAAATACTAAAAAGACTCATTATGGGTAGATAAGGAACACAGGAAATGCTCCCCCCGCAAGTCCCCAACAACCCTTAGATGGAACAACCCCACCCCCTCCAGAGGTCCCCCGCATCTTTTGCCACGAGCCCACTAGCCCTCTCTGTGGTTGAGGAAGAGCCCTTGTGTCTTGGACCCAAAGGGAACCATGGGCAGGACGAGCTGCAGAGGCAGGGGAGCTGAGCTGCTCTGTCCTGGGCACAGTTTCAAGGCCAGCTGCAGGGAGAACAAGCAGGCGCTGTGCGTCTGTAGCTGGCAGTGCTGAGGCCAGGGCTGTCCCTCACTTGGGGTAGATTTAAAGAGACCCCACCAGACGATCATGCCAACAGGAAAAATGCACATGCGTCTCTGTTGGCCTGGCTCCGTCTCCAAGCCCGGCCCCCCTCCTCCTCCACTGCAGCTCCCAGGCAGTGAGTTAGAGACCGTGGGCTAGCTCCTTGGCCTCTCCCAGGGGTAGCTGGTCCCACCTGGGAACACACGGCCCTGGCTCCCGGGCCTTTCTGTCCTCCAGACTGAGCTGGGCCCAAGTTGCCGGGATTAGCCCCCTGGGGGTGGTAACCCGGCACCCGAAGGGGAGGGGCAGGCAGATGAGTCAAATGGAAGCAGAGACTCTCCGGCTTTGTGTTTTTGTGAAAACTCCCTGTGAGCACAGGCTGCCTTCCACAGGGAATAGAGGGCTTTCCCACACTGCTTTAGGCCAAATGCTCCTCCTCCAAGGGGTGCCCAGGCCCCACGTGACTGCTAATGCAGGCTGAGGGACAATGCTGGTGGGCCAGGGGGAGCCCATCCCGGCTGAACGCGTTGGTAGCTGAGAGCTAAGGGCCAGGGGACCTGCGGCCTGAGGCCCCGCAGAGCAGACAGGCTGGCGTGCACAGACGTCTGGGCCCTCCGGTGGCCAGAGACCAAGGAGGCCTTCTCCCAGCGGTGAAGAGACTTCTGAAGGGAGCCCAGCAGGGGTGGGCTGAGCGGGAGGGAAGCCTCAGGCAAGCCCGTGTGAGGCAGGCTGCTGCAGGTGCCCGGAGAGGTAGGGAAACACGAGAGTGCCAATAGGGGCAGCTACGGAATTTGAGGGGCCCAGTTCACGAGGAAAGGCAGGGCCCTCTGTTAAAAAGTTACCAAGAATTTCAGGACAGTGACACGAAGAACATTAACCGGAGGCCCGTCTGAGCAACTGCGCACCCACAAAGCCGACCCTGGGCACCACCGAGTCGGCTCCTTGAAGCAGTTGTGACAGCAGAGGCCGAGTGCGTTGGGAGATAGCTGCCCTGCGACTGCTGGCTCCCACACCTATACCGGCCTCGGGCTATTTCCGGCCCCCCTCTCCCCCTGCAAGCAGCCCGTCTCCCTGTGCTGGCCGCCAATACGTCTGGGCCTCTCTGAAAAGGGGGAACTGCAAGGCCACGGTGGGGACAGGGCTGAGGACAGGAATGGACCTCTAGGCCCCAGAGCCCCAAGGCCTCCCTGGACAGGCCAAGGAAGGCAGGTCAGAGAGAGGTTGCACAGGTCTCTGGGAACAGGATGGAAGCAGAACAAATGGACTCCACTCTGGATCACTTCTTAAGGACCCCAGGGACACGTCCTGAGGGTATGTGTGAGAGACAGTCCGGGACCAGAACCCAGGCCTGGGAAGCCTTACCTCCAACTCTATGTGGTCGTGGAGCTTCTTGCACGTGGCTGCAAAGGTCTCTGAGGTGCCAAATTCAAAGTACCACAGCTTGTTCTTCATCCTGCCCCGTGAAGCAGAAAGCTGGCTCAATATTCTGTCTTTGAAACGGTCGTGTCAAATAGCTATGCTGTTGGGGCTCGGAGGCCCAAGCCCTCAGCATTCCCCACTCCTATGTTTTCAGCGCTTGTTAATCAGACGATCGGGGGTAGACACTTTTCACTGGCTGTTCTGGCTACGACCTTAGAGAAAAACGCTTTCATTTCTTAGACATCATGGCTACTCGGCGGAACCGCCAATGGCTGTGAACTTCCTGGTCAGAGCAGGAGAAAGGTGTGCTTGCCTCCTTACCTGGACCAAGGGAAGAGTTCTCTGAAAATCAGCCAGAGGTGGCAAGTGACATCATGCTCGGATCGTGGTCCTTTCTACTGCTAATGCAGAGGGACTAGTGGTAGAGCCCTCTCTTGGGTATCGTTGGGGCACAAAGGGAAGATCAGACAGACTTTGGAGACTTGAGGTATATACAGTCTTGGGGCAGAGAAGATAGAGTCCCACACAAAACCAGGCAAAACATGTGCTGCTCTGTCTATGCTCTGCCTGACGGAAGCAGAGTGGAGAGAATTAGACACAGATTTGCAGACAACGTGGAAAGAGAAGGAAAAAAGTGAGTTGTTTGGTAGCAAGAGCTCCCCCCGTCCACCTCCTCCTCAATTGCATTTGCTTAGGTCACAGAAATACTTCATTTAGGGGAAGACCTTGTCATTTGCTTCGAAGTAAGAGCTCACCATTTTGAGTTTTAAAAATTTTCAACATTTTCTTTAGTGGGGGGAAAAGAAAGGGATTCCCATGTAGCTGGGGGCTCGGCAAAGTCAGATGGTGTGCCCTGACACTTGGTCATTTATATCAGATGGTCTCACCAAGAAGTGTGTCTGCTGGTCTTCCATTCCTTCCATCCTACCTGTCATCCCATTATTGAGGGGCTGGCTAAGAGAAGGGGCACCTGTCCAGTTGATAAGCTGGCAGATTTTGCTAAGGAAGGAGTAAACAAAATCACATTTTTCTTGGCACGTTCTTCAGGACAGAAAGCCACCTTGTGCACCGCTGATCCTCCATCCTCAGATTTGTGGCCTAAGAGGAATGGAGCATTCTTTGGAGGGAAGAAGGCTCTTATTTCTCCCTAGTATTCCTTGGGCCATAGTAGATGAGTCTTCAGAATAAAAGACAACTTTTATCTCTGCATTTCTCAAAGAGAACATAAAGATGATGAGACTGTGTTCTTCCATTGCATGACGATTTCTAAGACCCAGTTGACTGGGAAGTAGTCTTTCTGACTCTATGTATGTATGAAAAGAAAGAATAAGTAACGAGGGAAATAAGAATAGGCAAGATTTAGGGAGTTCGGCCTAATGAAGAAAGTTAGCCGAACCGGGTATACTTTTAAGTAGCCTGGTACTTCTCAACTAGTGTGTTGCAATCAGGCACACCTGGACTGTCAATCCCCTCGGTCTTCGGTGCGGCCAGGCTGGGGTCTAGGGCCAGCTGAGTCCCACTGTCACAGTGGGCATTCTTATCTGTATGCCAAACAAGTGTTTTTGTTTTCTACGCCTGCCATGAAGTGAAAAATAATACGGAACACTGTTCTAGATCACTGGTTCTCTGTAGGCACAGTAATGTGAATACAGATCACCTGGGGACTTCATTAAGATGTGGGTTCTGATTCAGGCGTTCAGGACTGGGGCCTGAGAATTCTGTGTTTTCTTTCTTTTTTTTTTTTTTTAATTCTTATGTTAATCCCCATACATTACATCATTAGTTTTAGATGAAGTGTTCCATGATTCATTGTTTGTGCATAACACCCAGTGCTCCGTGCAGAATGTGCCCTCCTCAATACCCACCACCAGGCTAACCCATCCTCCCACCCCCCTCCCCTCTAGAACCCTGTTTGTTTTTCAGAGTCCATCGTCTCTCATGGTTCGTCTACCCCTCCGATTTCCCCCGCTTCATTCTTCCCCTCCCGCTACCTTCTTCTTCTTCTTTTTTTTTCCTTAACATATATTGCATTATTTGTTTCAGAGGTACAGATCTGAGATTCAATAGTCTTGCACAAGAATTCTGGTTTTCTAACCAGCTGCTGATGCTGGTCCAGGGATCACACCTGGTGCTGTGAGGATGCGGAGACAGATGTGTGGTTCTGAAACATTAGTATTCATAAGAATTGCCTGGAGAATGTGATTAACATACTGCTTCCTGGGCTGCGATCTGTAGAGAGTCCCTGTGATAATTATGGGATGGGGCCCAGGAAGAGGCATGAGTGCCCTGGGGATCATTATGCAGGTGGTCAGTTGTCATGACTTTAAGAAGCATTCCTCTAGCTACCAATGAAGTGACGACCAAGGACCAGAACGGACTGATTAAATCTGACAGAGAGGATTCCTCAGGAAGGATAAAATGAGGGTCAACGCCTCTCCATAGACCATGATGGCAAAAGACCCAGGGACAGGAAAAACACAGACTGTCATAAATGTCAAGGTTGAGCATTCCTCTCTGGCAGCAAAAGCATCTCTGTAGCCAAGAGACCTGTGTTGTGATTCCATTTTCAAATATCACTTCTGGTCTGAATCATGACTTTTGAAAGTTATTGCCAGGAGATTTAGAGTTTTAATAAAAATTTCCAGAAGCCACCAGCTATTTTTGCCCAGAAGTGGCTCTTCTGATGATTTAATAAGGTTAAGAGGTCATGGTCAGGTCAGTGTAGCAGAATGACTGAGAGGATCAAACAGACTCCTCGTCCATGGCTGGTAAGAGGTCTGTTGCTGCCTGTGTAATCTCTGGCAAGCATTAAGCCTTAGTTTCCTCATCTATAAAATGGAGTTGATAAAAAGATCTGCTTCAAAGCGTGAGAAGATAAAATGAGGCAACTGCAAAGCACTTCACATAATGCTGGCTGCACAGCAAGCTCACCAAGAATGTTAGCTACTTACATATTGGCTATTATTTCAATGTCTTGAGTTGACATATTTGGATAACACAGTAGGGCAAAAATGACAGATCAATTTGGGTGGCTATAGACATTATACGTGCACATTTTTCTAGGACAGGAAAAGATGTGATCCTATTTGTTGGATCATGTGTCTTGACTTGTGGTTAGAAACATATGTTCTCCACATGTTTATTCTAATAGGTTTTTCCAGATCACAGACCACACCCTAAACCTTGGTTAATTATCTTGACTGGTCACACGATTGTCCAAAGACATGATGTTGATTAGGAATATGCTTCTGAGAAAGTGCATGTTTGGTGTGAGACAAAGCATTTATCAGAGTCCAAGAAACTCATTGTGCTGGAACTGAATGGGGGTCTAGGTGGGGGTCTGCTAGGTATACTGAAGAACAAAACACAGCGCTACATGAGCCAGGCACCTAGGAAGGACAGACAAGGGAAAAGATCATGGAGTTGTGAGCTAAGCTTTAAGCACTGGGGTTACCTAGGAGAAGGGCACATCCAATTCTTAGTGAGGCCAGGGGCAATCGGAGAAAGCAACCTAGGGAGGCAATGCCAAGGTTGAGTTCCAAAGAATGTGGAAGGGAACAGAGAAAGTGGAACATTCCAGGCAGAGGAAGAAGCCTAGACAATGGCGCAGGGCAAGAGAGAGCATAAACTTGCTGCAGGTGACCTGACCTAAGGTGAGTGGGCTGCTGACTGGCCAGGTAAGGCTGGAGAGGCAGGTAGGTGCAGGTTTGTAAAGGCTGGGGATGTTATGCTTAGGTGTCTGGGCTTTATTTTTAAGTCTATAGTGTGTCATGGACCATCCTTACATGACGCTGCTAGCGTGGAGTGGGGGGGTAGGGGGGGCAGTAATGATCTGATCAAATCTGTGCTTTTTAAAAATCACTCTGTCCTAAGTGTGGAGAGTGGCTTGGAAGGGGTGGGTACAGACTGGAGGCCTAGAGAGTGGTTTGGAGGTGGTGTAGAAATCCAGAACAAACTGGGAAGGGCCTGAACGAAGGTAGTGACAGTAGAGTTATGGAGAAGAGAATGCACTCACAAGCAAAAATTTAGGAGGCGGAGTTGACAAAGCTCGTTGGTCGTGAGGAGGGAATGAGAAAGAGTCGTCGCAGTAACACCCAAGTTTTTGTCTTAGCATGGGAAATGGCAGATGCTAGCCACTGAGAGAGGGACACAGGAAATCAATGCTCCAGTGGTGGTCCTCTTTACAACTGAAGGGCAGCACTTTGGTGTTCTGGCCTCTCTGTCCATGCATCCACCCATAGAACATCTATTGAGCCGTCCTGTGGGCCAGGCACTGTGTAAGGCTTGGAGATAGTGACGAATAAGAGTCTCTGGCCTGGGCGCCTGGGTGGCTCAGTTGGTTAAGCGACTGCCTTCGGCTCAGGTCATGATCCTGGAGTCCTGGGATCGAGTCCCGCATCGGGCTCCCTGCTCGGCGGGGAGTCTGCTTCTCCCTCTCCTGTTCCCCTCTCTTGTGCTCTCTCTCTCATTCTCTCTCTCAAATAAATAAATAAAATCTTTAAAAAAAAAAAAAAAGTCTCTGGCTTCACAGAGCTTCCATACTTTTAATAGCTTCACCCAGACACTAACATTCGACCTTTGACCCACAGGAGACTATGTGTCCAAAATTTAAGAGCTTTTACTTCTTTTTCTAACTCAGGCACGTTCTAGTTAGAAGTGAATACATTCTATTTCCGTGGCCTATAGCCCATGGCTGCTGAACATTTTACATATGCTGTCTCTTTCAAGTCTCAGAAGAACCCTATGAGTTGCTACGTATAAGGGAACTAAGACTTGGGGAGGATAAGTAAGTTGTCTAAGGTTGCAAGGCGAATTAGTGCAGAGTGGCGCTCAACCCTGGCCGTGCTTTGCTGCCCGGCCACCGACTTTAGCGGGCTTTTGTGGTGTGGTGCTGTGTGTTCCTATTGTGCTTCCTAGACTGCTGTGGTTCTCCTTCCCCAGGTTGTTAAACAGATGCACTTGGGGACCTGGGGTGTCAGTGGTTACATTACATCCTAGGAGATGTTGTCTGATGCAGAGCGTCAGGGCCCTCCC